ATGGGTTTGTAAACTAAAGGGATTAAAGTGGTCTCTACGAGGTCCGGAATCCTCTTAATTGGCCCAAAAAGCAGTGATTGTAAACTAATTGAAATCCCTGGTTTAACAATGCCTCATGGACTTGGAGGCTTTAGAATGTTGAAAGCTCAAGATGTGCCATCTAATTGCATGTACAACTAAATATGAAGTAAACTTTGTTTGTATGCTATTTAAGTGTGGCTTATGAATCTCAAAATTAGTTCATGTAACACCAGTGGCCCGAACGTTAATAAATAAGATGGAATTTGGTGGTTTTAAAATGGTCATAGTAAAAGCGAGTGGTTTGAAAATGTGCGAATACGCACTATGGGTAATATCATCGGTCAAAAGTATCAGATCAAATTTTAGAAAAAAAAGAAGAGAAATTTCTTGAATTTAAACAAAAAGAGGTTTCACCCTCTTGCGAGTTCTTATACATGCAAGGGGTGCTGCAGTATGAGAACAGAAGGTTTTAAGGGACTTTTTTTTTTAAGAAACCGAGAGAGAGAAAGGAGAGAAAGTAAGAAGAACACGTGAAGGACGAGCTTGAAACTCTGCAACCCTAAACCATATGCAAAACCATTTCATGGTAAGCTTCCTTGTAGCTAGCTTAGAGATTTTACAATTCAAATGTTAGATCTTCATGTGTTTGAAGTTGGGAGAACCATCAAATCCTAGTTTTAAGCTTTAAGTTTGATTTTAAGGTGTCTTTGAAAACCTTAGTTTTAAGATCAAAGGAGGACCATGCCCCATTTTTGGGGGGGCAAAGAGTTCTTTTCTGGCTTTATTTGAGCAAAGTTGGTCGTTTGGTTGCTGACAACTGAAGTTGCAAGTTTGTCTAGGTAAAAACACAACTTTAAGCTCAACTTTGAGCTTATTTTTGTAAAAAATATGGAGTGGGGATGCACAAAACAACACATGACTATGAAAGAAAGGTGAAATAGGAGTAGTTTGACTTTTGAATCACTTGATTTGGTTATGAACTGAGGGAGATATGCTAGGAACAATGAGAGGGGATATAATTGGGAAAGAAATTGGGGGGGGGGGGGGGGGGGGG